TTACTGACAACTTTCCACTGGAGTAGAGGCAGAAGAGATGGAGATACTATGCTTAGGTCTATGAAGGAGTAGGTGTTATTGGCGAGATTATAATAGGTTGGTTCTTTTCGATTTAGGAGACACGCGCTCGAGGAGAGAAGGAACTGTTCAATCAGTCGACTTCGCGCGTCATACCGAGAGTCACCCCATAGCCTGCTATGCGCATTAAAGTCTCCAAGGAAAACATAGGGCTCCGGAAGTTCATCAATTAAAGAGTGTAAATCACGTTTTTGCAGCTTATAGCTAGGAGGAATGTAGATAGTGCAGATTGTGATCAGTTTATCAAAAAGAACCGCTTGAACAGCCACTGCCTCAATGTTTGGAGTTGTAAGTGTGTGCATGCAATTCCTTGATTCACTATGATGGCAACACCTCCGGATGATGTCATGGCATCAACACGGTCCTTTCGGAAAATAACGTATTTACGAAGAAAATTTGTGTGTTTTGAATTAAGGTGTGTTTCTTGTACACACAGCACTTTTGGTGAGTGTTCGTGTAAGAGTTCTTGGATGTCGTCAAGGTTTCTGAGAAGGCCCCTGACGTTCCATTGTATAATTTGAGTGTTCATGGTGAATGTAAAATAGTGCTGTGTGTACGAAAAGCGAGTGGCTGTTTAGACAAGGAGTTTGAGTTCACTTAACAGGGCCGTCACCAGGCCCTGTTATCTGCTTTTTGTTTTCTTGGCGCGCTCCAAGGAGCCACGCCGCTCTTTCGGCACCAAGAGTACCGACGTATCCATTGCCTCCTCGGAGGCACGGGATGCCCGCACGTGCGGGCTGCTAGTTCGAATTTCGGCCCTCACCTGGTGAGGTGAGACCTTGAGACCCGAGGACTCTGGAGTCTCCGGTCTCTGTTTGGGAGTAGGCGGTGTAGCCTGGGCTACAACCGCCTTGGGGGCAGGTGCCACAACCACCGGCTCGGTATGCGCGGGCCGAAAGGAGTGGCGAGGGCTGGTGCGGCGGTGCCCCCTGACGCGCCGCATCAGCGTATGTAGGTCCATAGAATGGAGCGACTCTTCGCCGTGCTTCCTTAAATGTAATGTTCTCCTTCACCTTCAACGTAATTATTTCTTTTTCTTTTTTCCAGTATGTGCAGCAGCGTGAATATGCGGCATGGTTTCCTTCGCAGTTTACACAGTGTGGCAGTTGTTTGTAGTTCTCAGACCTGTGGCCTAGGACTCCACATTGTGCACAAGTCTGGCGACCACGACAGGTTTTAGAGCCATGGCCATACCTCTGGCATTGGCAGCAACGACGAGGGTTTGGTATGTACGGCCTGATAGATGTCTTTGTGTACCCTGTTTGAATAGATTCCAGTAGTTTACTGGATGCAAACGTGAGTATTAAGTGTTTTGTCGGTGTTTCCTTATCATCTCTTCTGATAATGATTCTCTGTACATTAGTGACATTTTGGCTCTTCCACCCCTCCAAAAGTTCAGTCTCAGTCAAGTCAAGTAAGTCCATGTCAGATACCACTCCGCGAGTTGTGTTCATTGATCTATGTGGTGTTATGGTTATTGGTATGCCACCGAAATCTGAAAGACGGTCTAGCTTTTTAAATTGTTCTTTGTCACGGATTTCAAGGAGAAGGTCTCCACTAGCCATTTTGGTTACCTTGTATCCTGTGCCAAGAGTTTCGGTAAGACATCTAGAAACTAGGAATGGAGAGACGGTCCTGGCTTGCTTTTCAGTTTTTTCACAGTGAATGACGTGGAAGTGGGGAAAAGTTTCTATTGGCTGGTTGAAGAAATTTATGTCGGCGGTGCGTACACACTTTAGGCCGGTACGATCAGACAGGAGAGGGAATGCTCCATGCATGCCGTTCTTATTTTTGTTCAGCAGCGTTGGCGGCCACCCACCACGGAGCCCAACAAAAACACACTGCAAGTTTGCAGGTGCTAAAAGCTTGCAAACGTCAGCCGTACAACACTGCCATAACCCAATGCGCCTAGACCAAGGTAGGCTATTTGCACAGGATTAACCCTTGCCGCCAGGAAAAATGGAAGTAAACAGAAGAGAGTAGAAGACAGGACAGATAGATAGTGAGAGATAAAGACAAAGATGTAGGCAGAGAGAGAGATAGGAAAAGGCGACTGCCGATTTCCCCTGGGTGGGTCAGCCCAGGGGTGCCGCCTACGTGAGGCCGGGGCCAAAGGAGTGTGTTGCCTCTGCCGGGGAACCTTAAAGGTCCAATCACCCAGCGTCGGCTCAACCCCCAGGATCCCCTTTTCCCCGGACACGGCAAAGCCACGCACGGCTAGGCGTGGGAGGGAGCCGAAACCCCCCCGTTAGCTCGGGTCCGGGGTGTCGCTACACACCAAACGCCTACTTGCACAGGCGCCCCTGCGGGGTCTTCCTCCTTTTTAAGATTTCAAGTAAATGGGCGCATTGATTTCAGAATGCTGTCACAATAAGCAATACAAATGCGGCAGCGCTAAAAGAGCGCCCAAATTCCAAGAAACAATTCCTTCTCCTTTCTGTGCCTTGAAACATTCCCCATCCGTTCAACGTTCGTCGTCACATCAACATGTCAACTGATCATCATCTTTAAAGCCTGTTTCTTCACTCGCAGATACGTGGACTTGCTGTTATTCTTGCTCGTGCAGTGAGGAGGAACACTTGGCCAGAAGGAGGGACAAGCCAACGAGCGAAGAAAAGAGTGAAAAAAGCGAGGGTGTCTTTTGTATCTTCAAATGCACATAACTGCTTTTACGGCACTATTTTGAAAAATTTTCACAGCTATACATGTTCATTGTACATTTGTGCATAACTGCAACACCACAGCTAAATTTGGACCTCAGGTGGTTTAGGGGCCCTTAGCAACACTTTTTGGGCATGGTCAGACAACGCTGCCAATTGGTAGTTGAGGCTCCTAAGAACACTCGAGCCAAGTATTCTAGCCCTGCACGCGGCCTGGGATTTACAATGAATTATAGAAAAGCTTGGAATTTATCTCTCTTCTTTCTACAAATAATGCCATGTGGGAAGCCAGCGCTGGGTAGAAGGTGGACTGTAAAAGGGTACTTGGCGGCGTGTCACGACACAAGTCAGCCGCTAGGGCCAAGGCAAACCGATCACAGTGTACCGCGGCAAGAGCATGCGCGAGCGCCACCCATGCTTGATTGTAGTGTGAATAGCTCGAGCAGCCATTGTGTCAGTAATACAGCACTGTGGTTTAGAAAGGTTACTCTCACAAAAAATCACAGGAAAACAGAGAGGTCTCTCAAAGAGGACTGCACCCATATATGCTTCTGGCGTTGAAGAGACAGTGCTGTGACGGGATGGCAATTCCCTTCTCAACATTTTCTGGCTGCTTGCAAGGATTTGTACTGCATCGAAGCCATGCTGCCCACTTCTGCAGTAAGAAAGATACAGGCAAGGGGTACCTGCCTGTATCTTTCCTGGCAAGCAGCTACCTGCCTGTAGCTGCTTCAATTCTTTTCTGACGTGGTATGGATTCCTATGTGCGGTATGTATAAGCATGGATGTTGATCAAACAACCGCGATGTTTCACGTATTGTGTCTCGCTGCTCGACACCCTCTGCTTGCAAGTGGCAGGTGTCCCGGCATGTGGCATGTGCGGTGCGGCTGTGAGGATAGCACGTGTACAGGCCCTAAGAAGGACGTGCCAACGGGGTCAACTGTAGCCATCTAGCATGTGAAACAGGACACGAGAACAACGACATACTTCCACGCTGCCTGCACCATCTGCTCGCATCCTTTAGCCTGCTGCATGTGCTGTCAATGTCGTTTCCATCCTTGAACTGGTATAGCGCATTACAGGAAAAAAATGGCTGAGCAGACCAACACAAGAGGACAGAACAACAATTTCCAACCCAGCTTTATAGGCAAATCGCATCAAATATATAGACTTGCACAAGCATACAAAAAAAAAAAGAAAACCACTAACGTAATGCCAATGTTATGCAACACTTCACGATTTTATGTGTCGAAGCCACAATATGACTATGATTACACAGTGAAAAATTGAGGAGCAATTTTGTTCGCCTCAGTGGAACAGTGGCTATGGTGCTCAGCTGCTGACCTGAAGGTCGCGGGTTCAACCTCGGCCGCGGTGGTCGCATTTTGATGGAGGCGAAATGGTAGACGCCCGTGTAGCTTGCAAAGTCAGAGTACATTAAAACCACCAGGCGGTCAAAATTTCCAGAGCCTTCCACTACGACGTCTGTCATATTCATCTCGTGGTTTTGAGATGGAAAACACCAGATATTATTATTGTGGAGCAATTTCGACCACCTTATGTTCTTTAGCATGCACCTGAGCCTAAGTGCTTTAAGTACCCATTAACAACACATTGTCGACATAGGAAGGTGCCTATTATCTTTCACATACTCTTTCAAAGCACAACTTCTAAGATAAAAAGGGGATGAAACCTCCTGTTTTTAATTTCAAACACTTTCAGGGCATGCGAGTGTTCTATAATTTGCAGATATGATTGACAACAAGAAGTGTATATGCTCTGCTTGTTTGTTTATTGATTGATATGTGGGGTTTAACGTCCCAAAACCACCATATGTTTATGAGAGACGCCGTGGTGGAGGGCTCCGGAGATTTCGACCACCTGGGGTTCTTTAACGTGCACCCAAATCTGAGCACACGGGCCTACAACATTTCCGCTTCCATCAGAAATGCAGCCACCGCAGCCGGGATTCAAACCCGCGACCTGCGGTTCAGCAGCCGAGTACCTTAGCCACTAGACCACCGCGGCAGGGCTGTGCTTGTTTGTTAGCAATACTTAAACCTGCAAGGGGCCTTTTAAGTCACTGGCTCCCATAGAACTCAAAGCATTTTTACTGCAAGCATTACACAAGCCCCAGTAAACGCTGTGAAAATTAATTACTAATACAAGGAAAATATAACTTCGCTCCAGCGTTCCATCAGCAGAACATGTGAAAACACACATCAGTGTTTGGTGAAACATAACATTGAACACTCGGTTACCTTGAGAGGCTTTTCTTTTCTGGGTACATTGTTGAAGTTTTGCATCCTTTTGAAGACGTCTTTCACAGGTGGACTCAGTTCTTGTGTTTCAATAATCTTTGACAAGAGCTGGAATGAGTAAAAGAAACAGAATTTATTTTATAGAAAGAAGGTAATTGTTAGTCTGCCTATACCACATACAAGAACAAAAAAAGCTCAAACACCGTGACAGAATATATAGAATTTTTAGAATGCAACTCTTGGGCACCTGTTCCTGCGTTGAGAGTTGTACCTGGGATGATGATGATGATGATATATGGTGTTTTTTGGCGCAAGGGCTATTTGATGGCCAAAGAGCGCCAGTTCATGGGATAAGGAATGTGAACAATGGTTGCGATTAGCGGCTGTATAAGGGCCATAAAATTCCTCGCGGTAAGGCAGGTAAAAACATACAAGTAATAAAATCACGACCATGCCGTGAAAGGTGTGTGTGTTGTGCGAATAAATGACAAAAGTTGGTGATAATAAAAACGATGGCGGACATGTATGGCATTACCACAAGTGCCTCACTCGTTCGTACCCTTGCGTTCAAGGGCCGTGAGGCAAGTGCTTTGTTGTGTAGCCACCGCAGCAAAAACCTCTCTGGAGAGGTCGTGCTACGGAATGCCTGGGTATATGATATGAAAATTATGAATTTCTTTTAAAAACGCTAATAATGATTTATAACTAAAAAGCGGTTCCCTACCAACGAACATTGCAGGGTGTAAAGGTATATGTTGTCGGTAGGGTAACGGAAAATGCTGTTTTCTTAGAGATTCTAAGTGTTTGCACTGAATTAACATGTGAACGACTGTCAATGCTTCACCACATCTGTCACACAATGGTGGATCGCCACCGGACAAAAGATATGTGTGTGTCGTGTATGTGTGTCCTATCCTGAGTCTCGTTAGTATTACCTCTGTATGACGCGATTTTGATACTGGCAGCCAATGACCAAGGTGTGGCTTAATCATGTGTAGTTTGTTTTGTGTGTGTGTATCCACTTGCTCTGCCAGTATACCCTGAGGTTTCGTTTGAGAGACGGCTTAAGATCAAGGGCTGGGATTGATATGGGTGTAGGGGCAGTGCTTTTGTGGACGGATGCAGCGAGCTGATCCGCCCTCACAATGCCTTGAATCTCTCGGTGCCCTGGCACCCAGCACACTACAACATGTTGGCTGAGTGTGTAGAGTGTGCATAAAATGGAGTAAAGTAAGACGAGGACCGGGTTTTTTTGTTTTTTAAGACTGTGCAGAGCAGTTACCACACTGAGGGAGTCTGCATAAATTACTGCTTTTTGTATTTGAGGAACGCCGCTTGCTAGACGCGAGCCGGACGCGCTCGCATCGGCTCCTGCTTTTTTAAATGTTTTTGACCGCAAATTTGCCGATCGACCTCGGTTTTTCGACTCATCTGATCCAGTTTCTTTCAAGGATCGAGTGGATACCCGACTTTTGCGGGTAGGTCAAGCTTTCGAACTTTTATTTGGGTGTTTCACCCTGTGCCACGTTGGCGCTCAGCTCGGCCTGCCGAGCGAGACGCTTCGAAGATGCCGCTCGAGGAGATGGTCTTCGGCGAAGAAATCTCCAGGCAGGAGGATGAAGCCTCCGGATGGATTGTTGCCCACTCTCGGAAGAAGCAGCGTCAGCATTTTACGCCCGGCGACAGCCCTGGCCCCAGTGCCGGTCATCGTGCCGCCCGTCCAGCGCACCCGAAGGGGCCGATAAACAAGCTCATCGCCGCGTCGCGCCTGCCGCGATTGCCTAAAGATCACTACCGGGTTGTCGTACGTCCCAAGGGAGGCATGGATGTGCGCAAGGTCAGTGGAATCAAGGTTACCCAAGCTTTGGTGATGGCTGCTTGTCTCGGCCCGCCGCAGGCTGAGGAAGATATTGTTTGTGCCAATGAAATTCAGAACATTTTGGTGATCAGCACGCCACACGCTAGGAACGCAGAAGCCTACGCTAAAGTGAAGCAAATTCGAGTGGGAGAAACGCTCCATGAAGTCTCTACTTACGTGACGCCACCCGGGGATACGTGCAGAGGAGTTGTTCGCGGTATCGATCCTGAGCTCTCTGATGACCGGCTTGGTGAGCTCTTCGTGCACGCAAGAAATCCGAAGGTTCTTGGAGTATGGCGCATCAAGAAAACGCCCACGGTGATCGTCCTGTTTGACGGTATGAAAGTTCCAAACTACGTCATGTGTGGGACGAACCTGATCCGGTGCACGCTCTACCGACGACAAATCGACGCCTGTCGAACCTGCGGAAAGCTGGGACATCGCTCGGACGTTTGTCCCACTCCTACAGTCATCACCTGCCCGGACTGTGGGGTCTCATCGCCCCCTGAGAATCATACGTGCCAGCCGAAGTGCTCCATCTGTGGAGGAGCGCATCCGACGGCGGATCGGGCCTGTCAAAGCAGGTACCAGGTTCCCTACATCGTTCGGCGTAGAAGGCGACGACGGAGAAAAGCAAACAAGCAGCGCGCGGAGTTCGTGCCACAGCAAGCTCCCGGACTTGGGTTGAACCAGGGGGGTGGCCTTGATAACCCTGGGCGGGGTGCGGGTCACCGCTCTCGCTCGAGGGATAAGTCTGCCTCCTGTGCCCGGATTCAGCAGGAACCTACCTGGGCTGAACGAGTGGACCCAAAACGTGAGTCTCGTACTATCGTGCAGCGCCAGTTGCCAGAGCAAGCTACGGCTAGAATACAGCAGCTAGAGCGTGAGAATGCAACTCTGAGGAGTGAGCTCCAGGAGATTAAAGCATTAGTTGAGGAGCTTAGGCAGCGCGAACGCACGCCGGAAGGGGCGGTGAAAGTGCAGCAGGCCGAGGCACAACCTAGAGGCGGTAAGCGAAAAGCCGCTGACCCTCCGGTAGATATCGAGAAGGAGTTTAGTGACTTTAAACAGGAAATTATGGGGGTGGTCCATGAAATTAAGGAGGCCATCGCTGGTGTCAGCTCTGTCATCCAGTCCCTTTCTGCAAGGGTGGTGGTGGTGGAGCAAAACCTAAGTAGCAATCATGGCGAAGCTAAATAAAACATTTGTCATTTGGCAATGGAATTGCGCGAGCTTCCACAGGAAGAAGGCAGTCTTGCAGCAGTTCGTCAGCTCACAGGAGAATAAGCCAGCCGTAATACTCCTCCAGGAGACCCTTAAAGGAGAGGTGGCCCTCCGGGGTTATCGCTCCGTGGCCTGCTGGGGGGAAGGAAAACGTGGGGTCGCCACCCTCATATCCAAAGAGTTCTCCTTTGAGGTTCGCGATGTACGTCCAGACCTAAAGGTGGAACACATACTCATTGAGTTAATCCCAAACTCTCGGCTTAAGGAGCACCTATTCATTCTCAACGTTTATAGCTCACCATCTGATACTCGGGAGACTTTTAATGCGCTTCTCTGCAAAGCCTCCAAAATCGCGGGCTCGGCTCCGTTGACAGTTGCTGGCGACTTCAATGCGCAACATCAGACATGGGGCTATATCAATAATACGGCTAAGGGGCGGGCGCTTCTGCAGCATACTACCAATCTTAATATGTTACTAGTTACTGATCACAACTTTCCCACACGTCTCGGCAATTCTGTGGCAAGGGACACCACGCCGGACCTGGCTTTTGTCAGGAACGTCGAGTGCCCTTTCTGGCAGAACTTGCATGAGAACTTGGGGAGCGACCATTTCATCGCGTCTATCTCCCTCAATGTTAAAGCACCGCCGCCGCAGGTTTTCAAAATTGTTGATTGGGATGCCTTTCGGGAACTCAGACAAAGCGATGAAAAAGAGTGCGATGACCTTGGCCAGCTACTTGAGCGTCTTAAGGCAGATGTTAAAGATGCCACTAAGGTGGTGGAGACGGATCTTAAAACGGAACGCATGGACAGCCGCCTAGCGAGGCTCCTTGAAGCCAAAAACTCCTTACTTAACAGATGGCGTACGCAGCGACTCAACAGGCGGCTCAGAAAGAAAATTGCTCTGCTCAAACAGGAGATTGAATCGTACAGCCAAACCCTGGCCAGACAACAATGGGATGAGGTCTGTAACGCTGTCGATGGGCAGATGCGGTCAGGGGCGAAATGGAACATTCTCAAGCACCTCCTGGGAGATAAGCAAACTAAAGCTAATCAGAAACACACTGTTGATCGGCTCATTCACAAGGAGAGGTCTGCTGGGCTCTCCAATGATCAAATCTTACAACAGCTGGCGGATAGGTACCTCCCCCTGGGGGCTACCGCGGATGCAGACTACCCGGATTTCTCTGGTCCGGAGGATGCGGAGCTGGACTCCCCCTTCAACACGGCAGAGATCAGGGCGGTCCTTTTTGATCTCAATGGAAAATCGGCTCCCGGGCCGGATGGTATCACTAACAGGCTACTTAAAAATCTGGACGATAGATCCATTGAGCTACTAACTGACGAGGTCAACCAGGTTTGGGAGTCGGGGCAGGTGCCGAAGGAGTGGCGAACGGCCTCTGTCGTCCTCATTCCCAAGCCTGGTAAACCTCTCGGGCTCGGCACGCTCCGACCGATCTCGCTCACGTCTTGCGTGGGTAAGGTCGCGGAACATGCAATCCTTAACCGAATCTCCCATCACATTGAACAAAACGAGCTCTTCCCTTTCAATCTCATTGGCTTTCGTCCCGCGCTCTCTACGCAGGACGTTATGAAAATGATTAAACATCAAATTCTCGACATAGACACCAGAGATGTCCGAGGGATTCTTGCACTCGATCTGGAAAAAGCTTTCGATAATATCTCACATCCTCACATACTGGATTCAATCTCTGAGTTGGGATTGGGGGCCCGCTTTTACGGGTTCGTCCGCTCTTTTCTCAGGGATCGCGTTGCCACCATTCGGCTCGGGGACCTCTGCTCCAAGGAATTTCACCTTGGACCTAGGGGAACCCCTCAAGGATCGGTCATTTCGCCGCTAATTTTTAATATCGCGATGAGGAAACTCTCGCTCGAACTCTCTCGTATCGACCGCATCGGACATGCGCTGTATGCGGACGATATTACTATATGGTGCACTGGGGGTAGGGACGGAGACGTTGAGGAGTCCCTCCAGCAGGCCCTCAGGTGCACGGAGGAGTTTTTG